TTTGTATGTTTGTCACTCCCTTGTGACCTGCTATTTTGGGGTGCCTTGATAGTCGAAGCAGACCTTGTGCTGTTGAAGCTAGAAAGGTGAGCAGTCTAAGTCTGATTCCCTGTCAAGACTTCTCTTTTGATACCCACCCCTTGGCGCTCATATGACCTTATGCAGTTGCAAGCGCCGTAAAACCCTCTACTATAAAAAAAAATAAAAAATAGCAGGTGTTTGTGATCTCCTTTGTTGTCGTCTGGTTCTTTTTCCAATACTAATACGTGACCTCACAATGACAAATCTCTCTTGCAGGTGTTTGTGAACCAGCGTCAGAGATGCTCCAACTTCAATTCGGAAGTCAAGATGGCCAAGATGTGTCTGGTGGACCTGGCTGGCTCGGAGCGGGCCACCCACACCACCAACCAGGGCGCCAGGTTCCGGGAAGGGGCCAACATCAACCGCTCGCTCCTGGCGCTTGGCAATGTCATCAACGCTTTGGCCGACAACAAAGTATGGAACTTATCTGTGGCCTGATTTATCTATAATAATTGTAATTTTTTGGCCAACAGCTAAGTATGGAACTTTGAACTGCTTTATCAATGATAATAATAATAGTAATGAATAGCATATATTTTTATTTTTATTTCCATTTCTGGAAAATGCTCATTGCGCATTACATTCAAAGAGATCCTTATCTCTCCGTTACTATTTATTGACATGTCTAGCTTTTGGCACTTATGACTTTATTGTGTTGCATGGGCCATAAACTTACTACCCCTGGGAGGGGGAGGGGGTGCCACTGACTGAAGTGTCTTTAGGCCCTTCCCAAATGGGGGGACATTTCTTGTTCTTATACACAGTAGAATTGTAAATGGGCTGATTCAACAATGTCATGCTCATAACCGTGCCTGAACTACAACAGGGAACTGCTGCTTTTTCTTTCCTTATCCTTACTATGGTCATTTTCCTCTACTTTTGTATGTTTGTTACACTCTTGTGACCCTCTATATCCGGGATGCCTTGAAAGTGGAAACAGACTTTGTGCTGTTTAAGCTAGAGAGGTGAGCAGAGTATCACCGATTCCCTGTAAAGACTTCTCTTTTGACATCCACCCCTTTGCGCTCATATAACCTTATGCAGTTGCGAGCGCCGTAAAACCTCTACTAAACAGGGTGTCCAGTAAAGTCATTAAAAAAGCCGTAAATTCGGCGCCATGGCCGTAAAGGTCGTAAATGGTAGTAAATTTGCCTTGAAGGTAGTAAAC